TTCTTCGACATATATGGTCCACTTCGAACAGCTTCTTGCAACTGCAACAAATTTCAAATATGTCATCAGCGAGCAAAAGTATAACATCATAGAAAACTTTTTTGAAACTTCCATATTAATATAAGAGAGCAGAGGAAAATAATGGAACCTTTTCACCGGTTTTTAGACGACGAGGGTCATCAACAAAGTTACTACACAAGAACGCTTCGTGAATTGCTTTGCAGCAGTTATACCTTGCTTCCATTGCTGGGTAAAAGAATTTGAGATTCAGACTCACGGAACAAAATGGCTGGAGTGTGTGTGATGCGAGGAAAGTTAACTTGGTTTACCTATTTTTGCAGTTTCAGTGGTTGCATCCGTAACTATGTTTATTATCTCTTCTTTGGCCAAGATTTCCACCAGGCACCATGGCCGAGCCACCAATCCTGTTAATGTTCTATAACCCTGTAAACAACATAGTATTATTAGCAAAAAACATAGTTCCCTCTCAGCAATGTGTGAAGGTCTTATGTGAGATAAAATGAGCGACATGTATCCGAGTTTTGTGTAGAAGGACAAAAGAGAGGTTTTCATTTGAATGAAAATGTATCGTGGCATTTTGAAATTTCCAACTACAGAAACAGTAGGGAGGAAGATATGAAAGATCAGATGCTGAGGTTAAAGCTTTACCGCAAGACGAATCTCTGAGCTTTGCTGAAGAACTGAGAGGAACAAACCCTGCGATTTGTGCGACATGCTTAAATTAGCTCATGCTACGGATCAAACAAACATATGTAGTCTGCCCACTACTGAGAGGAAGAATAAGCAAAAGAGGAAATGAACTTACCGATGGGGTTAGTTTTGTGCTCTGTGCTGCAACATCGTATATCAAACATCTAAGGCTTTCTTCAGCTTTTCCATCAACTATTCTGTTGCTCTTAGGCCGTGTTTCACCTGCGATGTTTGCCAGTGCGTGCAATGCAGCCTGCACATGCCATTTACGAAACAGTCATATAATTTCATGAATGTCTCTGCTAATGAAGCAAAATTTCAACCCTCAATAGTGAGAATTAGAAATCGTAAAACTGGAAAAATTGGATCTTCAAAAATGTCCTAATAGCATATAATCGGCAGAATTTCAATTGATGAGAAGCAAAAACACACTAACCAACTGTTTTCCATGTGCATTACGATCAAACGCAGAAGCTACAACATGTCTTGCAGCTGGAGGTGAAGTTGAAAGGACAAGATCCGCTCCCTTCGTAGCTAAAAATTATTGTAAAAATATACATATAAGTTACAAGCTCATTGCATGGGAAAAATATATTTTGTCGGTCGCTATTATAATTCATAATTCCAAATGTATTGACCTATCTAGCTATCTCTTTTAGAAGAAGACTGCAACAAACGAAGTTTCAAAGAAAAGTGAGCCACTTACTTGATCCAATCTGACCAAGTGCATCAATGGCAGCTTCCTCTGCATCAGTATCATTCATCTCCACCGACTCCAGACTCCCATCAATAGCTGAAATTAACGCCTTCACACCTGTTTTCAGGACCAAGTTGAAAGTGGATTTTTGCCAGCTACAGTACAGCCTTAAAATATAAGTCTATTATTCATAAAGCTATATTCTCTTCCTTAGATTAAAGCAACAAAGCAATTTGTAGTTAACTTGTCAACTTCTTCACTTGTTTCATAGGCACAGCAAACAGAGGCTTTCATTATCTGATAATAGGAGCAAAAGTAACCTAGAATATTTGAGACAGGGAACAACCGCATAACTCTTCTGGTCCTAACATAACATAGTCCCTAAAAACTCCTTGTTGTGAAAGCATATAGAAAGAAAACAAAATAATCTCATTTTTCTAACCAATAAAGGCTAAAAACAATGAAAATCTTACTAGCTTCTTCTACGACTTTGTAGATATTTTCCTTTGAGAGTAGCCTGCCACTAATCATCATTGCTCTTAACTTTTCATAGGGTCCCGTCGATGTACCACTATACAAATTATAAGACCCACAGAAAAAAAAATGAAGGGTGAGCTGATGCAAGCTTAATAGTTAATAGGTATCCATACTATTTTTGTTGTAAACATGGGTAAGGTTTAACAGTTTTGTACCTGATGATAGAACACAACAGCTGAATAAGTGAAGTTTGTGGCACGAACTCTGAACTGTGCTCCACTTCCACTAACTTCAGCGTTCATGCACAAATATTAAATATAATTCTATCTTTTCCTTTCAAAAGTGGGCAACAAAGGAAACAGACTGAATAATAATCTCAGACATCAGAGGCCAACCTCATAGTAGAGTTCCAGAACATTTAAGATCACAAGAGTGTCTTTTGTACCCTTCATTTCTGCCTCCAGTAAATCAAGAAGCCCTGATTTCTTAATTTCTGAAGCTACGAGTCGAGAAATCGAAAAAAGCTTCACTATCAAAGACAAAACCCGGACTCGTGCCTGAAAAACAGTTGGAAAATTGTAAAGCGAAAACAAGAGATGGAATATCATGGTAAATAAGTTTTATAGAGCGATGCATTACCAGTGACGAACACCTTGCAGCAAGGTTACGAAGATGTGTAGCATCGTTGGTTTCAGAAGGGAAAATTACAGACTGTGAAAAAAGAGGTTTGAGTTTTATGCATCAGGAATAGATGGGGTAAAAGAACTAGCCACTGAGCCAAAATAACCGGTTAAACTTTAAACACAGACCATTGCATCAGGGAAGCGTGCTAGACTCTTAATTGTCTCACTCGCAGCATGTGCCACTTCATCATCGCTACAGAAACAAACAAAAAAAAACATGTCAATGGTGAATTTTGAGGCAAAGCAACTATTTGGAGATACTAAAAAGCCATATTTGAATCCAAAGGCTTTCTCAACAGTAATCGTTATGCTACAAAAAATCTTCAACTAGTTGTTTCCAGTTGGTCCCTAGATTGTTAAACTAGAGTAATCCCACACAAATGAACACAACTGTAAGAATATAATCTAGAACTATTAAACATGGCTTCTCACCTGTTAATGATATAATCAAGTAGAAGAGGGTATATGCCATTGCTAACAACTAGCTGAACAGGATAAACATCGTTTATATCGCAATTCTCCAAGAGACAAAGGACCTAAAGAAAAACCAAAACAAGACTCCACATTAGCAAACACTACAAACTGGACATCCATTGAGAAAGCATAAACCAAAACTTTTATATACACTTACAGTTTTGCAAGCCAGAGATTTAACTACTGCAGAATATGCCTTGAGACCAACTTGCAGAACAGGCTAAAACAAACACCAGAAAAGTAAATCAGACTCCGAATATAGCAATTGGCTCAAAATATTTCCATCCTGATAATTAAATACACAAATGACAGGAACACAAGTCGATAAATAGAAATCAGTGAATCATACCATATACTGAGGAATAAGTGAGGCGCCATACTTAGTCTTAAACAGCCTCTCCAAGCAAGTCACCAACGTGTTTTCAAATCCTGGTATATCCGGATCGGTTTGCAAAGCACTGCACGCGAGTATTACGAATTTCCAGTTAACAACTAAAAAGCTCCAATGAAATCCAAAAACTACTTAAACCCTGGAAAAACCACAAGAACAGATTCAAAGAGGAAACGCAATGAAATACAAAGTTGGAGGAAGAAGAAAATCACTTGAAGATAACGGGAAGAGGGAAGCGATCGAGGAATTCCTTAACGGAGGCTTCGTTTTGAGCGCCTGAGATCGAGAAACGGTAATCGGATATCAGTCACGACGGAATTAGAACAATCGAAAAATTTGGTTGGTACGAGAATTTGGTATGAATGCGTAGGTTAGTTACCGGGATAGTGTGCGAACTCGAAAGCAGCATCGAACAACTGGTTAACGTCTTCCATGGCGATTTCCTTCTTTTTTTTTTCCAGCAAAATATGTTTCGTTGCGAGCAAGCTGAATGATGAAACAAAAAGGACCTCTTGATGACGACTTGACTCCGACGCTGCATCAAACGCGTGGCAATTGGAAAACTCTTTAAATAAGGCCTGGCCCATTTATATGATAAGGCCCATTAGAGTGAGGAAGATGACGAGCATTTGACTATTTGTTATCCATGCAATTAAATGGATCTGTCGATTATTTCTTTGGTTGAAAACCTAATGAATCTTATTCAGTATTTTTTTTTATCGATCTATCTTAGTAAAAATTGATAGATTTTTAGTAAAATGAATTCGGTCGTTTTTTTGCTCATGCTCATTGTTTTGTCGTAATTGCTTATGCGTTTTCCGTTTGGTCAGGGCCGGCAGAGACTTTAGTGTTTTGGGACATCCATGATTACCCGCTCCCTGATGATATCGACGCTTATGATCTTTCGTTGGAAGTTTGCAAGGCCCTTCGGGAAATTGGTAGTAGTAATGAGATATCCTTGTGTGCTTATGGCGATAGCAAGAACAGAATGAATGGTCCGTATGAAGGATTCACTTTCCGACTTAACTTAGGTGAATTCCTTAAAACTCTCTAATACTCTTTTCTCTTTTACTTAGTATACGTATTTATCTTGATCTGTGTTTATACACGCTTTCAGGAGATGAAGATGAGAGACGTCAGATGGTTTTAGTGGACGTATGTGGCGAAATAGTTGCTAACCGTCAAAAAGCATTAAATTTTGTGCTAATCATGGGAGACGTCTCAGGACAAATGGACTTCATCAGGACTATTCGCTTACTGAGATCGAGAGGATATTGCAATGTGTTCTTAATACAAGAGCCTCCAAACGGTTCAGGAGATCTTGGAAGTACAGATTGGCTTCGGGCAGGCCTATCCCTTGGAGAAAACCTTATCACTCAAAGCCAAAGCTGGCATTATGGCTAGCTAGCTGGATTAGCAGGTTCATTGAGGATTAGTTCTTATTTGTAATGTCATTGCTTGCTTTTGTTACCAAGGCTAACTAACATCTCATTAACTCTTTTTAGTTCAACTTCTCTTACTTGCTTTTGATCCTATAACCCAAAGTTTTAAGTTCAGCTCCTAAAAACTATATTCAAAGCCTTTATTATACTAATAATTCAACATTTTAGGATACTTTCACACTAAGAAATATGAATAAGGAAATCCGCATAGATGTCATGTTTGAAAACATGCACAAAGACGTTACTACAAACACGTACATCAGCAAAATGCTACGAGGAAATGATACAAAAACCACTAATTTTAAGCAATCCAAGGTTTTTTTCGTAGCTTAAAATATTAAAAGATAGTAGAGATAGTTTATGGTCGCATGGCGATCAGAGAACAAACGGCCAGACACTCACGGCGGAGCCACCACCGTACATTGCAAATGACGGAGGAGGAGGAAGAACCGTGGGAGGCAGAGAAGGTAGATTCGGAAAGAACGCTGCTGCTGCATCGAAATTAACCTGTCCCGATGATCCCAAATCCAGAAACTGACCAAACGCCACGTCATCACCGACGTGACGAGGCTGACGTGGCGGGAGTGACGGTGGTGGAGCGGGAAGGTATGTATGAAAGCTCGCATCGGCATGAGCAGCAGAGTTATTGGAGAAACAGGACACGTGCTCCGTCGCAAAGGTATTGATGATCGGAGCAATTGCAGATCCGGCAGAGGAGAACTCTCCGGCGACGGCAGAAGAAGAAGAAGAGATCAAGTTCGTCTCTCTACTAACGACGCCGCTTTTCAGACAAACTTTACAGAGAACCCATTCATCCTTGTAAAAACACAAAGTAAACATTTTGATTATTAAATATTTGAAATAACACAGAGAGATTTAAAAATTTACCTTAGCGGAGGAAGAAATGTAATGGTAAGAGAATTTGCCGTCAAGGCGATACTCATGCATGACCCAACAACTCTTCTCTCCTTTAGGAGCTCTGCCTTTGTAAAAGACAAGAGTTTTCTTCATCCCGAGAAGTGATTTTGTCTTTGAGCTTTTGATCTCTCTGTCTTTACCAGTGGCTTTCCAGTAACCAGCTTCTGTTGCTCTGTTCGTTCTCAGTCCAGTTGGGTATTTTCGATCTCTTAGTGTGAAGAAGTACCACTCTTTCTCCCCCATTTTCGCTTTCTCTGCTCAAATGGTGTAAGTGAAAGTTACAAAATTTGCATCGAGTTATAACAATGTCTTTAAAGTAAAAATACTCTGTTTTAGAACCGAACAAGGACTGGTTTAGTCATGTGCAGGATTGATACAAAGTTTAAAGAGTTATAACAATGTCTTCACTAAGCCTATATCATGCTACATCTAGCACATTATACCAATACCACAGAAATAAAGTCCTACAATTTGGATATGGCAAAAGAAGAACAGAGGAAAGTCCAAAGTTTGATGAAACTAGGGTTTATGACGATTTAAGAAAAAATCTAGAGATGGGATTTATCATCAAGTTTTGTGATAAAGTTTTTGAATGCATCAGGTGAAACAGAAGGCAGGTTGACTCGAGTTTAGTGGGCTTACCAGGAAGCTCCCAAGGCTCAGACTTGTTGAGATCAACTTGAGAAATGGCCGCACAAGAGAAATTGGAATCAAGAACCTTCTTGAGGAGATAGTAAGTGATCAGCTCTTCATCAGTTGGATGAAATCTAAACCCAGGTGGCATTAGGGTTTCATCTTCAAATCTTGGCCTCCCCCAACCGTTAAACACATCAACATCCATTGTCGGCACAAATACACAAGAAGAAAGCTCTAAAAATAACAAAACCCTAGAGTTTCTAAATGTTTAAAGATAAAGGAAGAGGAAAAAGAAGAGGAAATAAAAAAAGGTCCTTTATTTTAATGATCTGTGTTTCTCCTGTTCTACAAGCAACTGATGTGATATTTGACAGTAGCTAGTGACAGACAGAGTTGATGTTGATGTGTACAATACACCACACAAAACGAATATATATGTGTGTGTATAGGAGGATTATAATAATTTTGCTAAAATGTGTTTAGTAGGATCTATAGGAAGGATATTATTGGACAATTTGTCTTTTGAGCATGCAATGCGTGCGTGACTGTGAATTCAGGGGAGTCTACGTCAGCCAAAAGAAAAAGAAGAAAATTTAACTTTACTAAAAACTTTAGCTTATTGATACTACTTGGATTTTGTCTGTTTACAATATACTTTTAACGAAAATTCTAAACGCGTTAATACATTGAAGACAAAACTTATTAGAGAAAATAAAAATGAAGAAAGAAAGAGGTGCATGGATGTTTCAAATCATGAGAAGAAATCACATCCATCCATCAGCATCTGAAGAAAAAAATGGACGGATAGGATATAGACGCGTCATATCTGCAATAAGGTAACGTCGCGTTGAAAAATATTAAAAAGGGAGAGTTGTCACAGGCTTTACATCAAATCATATTCCCATCCTTTTTTTTATTTTTTGCATGCATCTTTCATATTTTTCCCCCTGCTGTATTTTTCACCCCCTAGGCTACGGTCTCACAAATAACTCTACTTTTATTTTTATTTTTCTATTCAAAACTTTTTGATGAAAAAATTACTATTTCGTTAATTTATGGTCCGACTTCCGACCCGTCATGTGTTTTGTTTTTTTTTTGTTAAAACCTACACGTTATGTTTTTAAGTAGACGAAAGAAATATATCAGGAGTTTCATTTTTGTTTTTGAGAAAACACACACGTTTATTTAAGAAGAAAGTTTATTGAAACAATAATAAAAGATCAATGTCAGCTACTGATTTTGTTGAGAAAAAAGAAGAAGATTTAAATAGAAAGTCATAAATGATGCTGAGGATCAATAATTGTGGATTGTTGTTATTTTAAAAAGCATGAGAGTACAGAGAAGGAGAGAGACAAAAAAAACTCGCGCACCAAGAGATTATTTTACAATTTAACACACAGCCTCAGGTTGCGACAGAGTCGAATGACGTATGTATAAGTGAGTAGTGGTGGAGGAGAGAATCATCTCCGCCGACCTCCGCCCTGAACCCTACGGTGTCTTTTTTCGAGTCTACGGCTAAGTTCCGGACCCACCTCAGTTTTTTTTGGCATTTTCCCTTTCGGAGTTTGTTAGAAAAGAGGATAAAAAAATACGGCGAGAGAAAATTCGTCATAATTGAGTCGGATTAAATTTTGTTTTTTTTTTAAATAACCGGATCTGACCGGGTCTAATTAAGAAATTTGGCAAATTGATGAAACACAGTTATGGTTACAGAACAACATCTGCTGGAAAAAAAAGATGCAGATGTGTATACAAACACAAACACCCTTGGGTTTCACTATTCACAATAAAACACAATTTAAGAGACTTGTTTGATCAGTTTTTGGGGATGATATCGGAGAAAGCAAAGTCATGGAATGGAGGACCTGCAAAAAAATGACACAACTTTAGATCTATTCTAGTTGCAATCACATTATCATCTTGTTGAATCAAGTTTTTACAGATAGATGAGAAGAGCCTCTTAACCTCCTTGTTCACTAAGGATGTGAAATGGAATGTGTGCAACCATTTTTTGTCCGCCCTCGCTCCAGTTAACTGTGCCTGGAAACCGTTTTTCTGAAACCCTCGAAGGTCCCAACACAGACCAACAGATTCCTGGTTCGTTCATTAGTCCTAAGTAATCATGCGCTCGTCTCCAAACCCTTGCATCAGATATCCGAGACCGTACTACCTACACATGTACATAATTGTGGAACTCAGATTTGTAAGTTTAGGGATCATTGATAAGTGCGTTAGTGGATTTGATATGTCTCTGTGTACCTTTCCCAAGGCGACACGGGCTCTTGGTAACAATTCCCAGTGATATGTTGCCAGCTTTGCGATAGCTGTCACTACAAAACACAAAAGTCTTGACTGTGTTGTTCTTCTGGAACCATTCCCCGACTCTTGCCTCAAACCTAGGCGGCTTTTTTGGTTGTTTGAAGCAAATAGCGAAAACGGTGTAATTACCATTTGTTTTATGTCCGAGAAAGCAGATTGATGATACATAACAAAAATTTGTAATACCTTGATGAGAGATTCTCATATAGAAGCAACTCTAAACTTTCAAAAAGCTCGCGAGCAGCTTCCTTGTGTGATTCTCCCCCGCCACCATACTCTCCAATTGCCCAACATAGCTGTAAGGCTAACTCTCTCTACGGAAGAAAATGCTTAGAGGAGATTATCTTACAAAGAATCTGTTGAAATATTAGAAACTGACCTTTGCAACATCATCGTAAGCTTCTCCAAGCCGGTCAATTATAGGCTTCTGCATTATGTAAGAAGTTGGGAATGCATTTTAGCAAATTACTCCTTGAGAAAATATGCGATAATCATAAGACTATGTAACCCATGAAGGTAGGGTGATTATGACTGGTATATCTAATAACGAGCTGTGAAATCTTTTTGTCCAAATACTAAAAGCTATTACTAGAAAAAAAAACAAAATACAAAATAGGAAGACATTACTTTCAACAGGGCAATGAAATTTGGAGACCTCTGAAATGCAGCTAGTACGAATTCCAGTAGCCTCCTACGGATCTGTATATGCAAAATATATCTCTATAAGATTAGGTCCAATATGACAGTAATACAGGTTTATACACTAAACGTTAGCATTGGCATTTCTGAAGAACAGAAGAAATATTAATGGACGCTCCACTCAGATCCAGAGGAGAAAATCCAATAAACATTGTCAATTAGCATGTTCCAATGATTTTCTTAGGGAAGTATCATATAGACAATACAGAAGATGCGTGATACCTCATGAGAAAAATTCTTATCCGGAAACATTGTAGAGTTTCTTGTCATGAGTAGAGGGATTAATGCACAGATCAGAGCTGCAAAAGATAAAGCATAAAAAGAAAGAAAAAAAAGCATGAACGGATTCAATAGTGGTCAAAGGCCTAACTAAGTTGGTAACTGACTTAGTCTCCTTTAACAACTAAATAAAACTAGGACGGCTGTAAATTATCTTACAGTCATTTGCATCTCGCAATGTAACACTAAAGTAGACATCAAGAAGTCGAGGAGCAATCTTAAGAGTCTGCTTCATCCTCTCAGACCGAGGACCACTTGCAGCAGCCTGCAGCGCTGCATTCAATGCAGGAGAAGCGCGGTGTCTTTCCTGCAGCACAAATATGACTAAATAGTAAATACTTCCAGTTTGTCTAATACATCAGATAAATTTGAAAAAACTACCAACTTTCACATAGCCCCAAATTTTTTACTAATAGACAATATTTGTATAGAACTGTTACAGTTGGGATTTTGGAATAAAGCAAATCCAAAGGAAGGAGGCATACAGCTAGACCATCATTTTCGTCCTTCAGAAGCTCCAGAAACAGAGGATCAGCTACATCTATTGTATTGTTATCTTCAGATTCAGAGTCATCCCCTCCATCCCCGATGGTTGAACCAGTATATGCTTCATCCATAAGGGCAAGAAGCATCTGCATTCACAGGGATCCTTGTCATTCATTGACTATCTAAGAACTGTCAAACAGGTTTATGTTTTTATGAAATATAAGACCTCCGGAGCTGCACTCTTCTGAATTGAAGCAATGCTACCTCCAACCCTTGACCCAGACCCCGAGCTCCTTTCCACCTTTTCTAATGCCACAACCAACACTAGCAAAAACATTAACAAGAAGATACATAATTAGTACACAGTACACTCGTAAACTCAATCAGGCTGAGAGAATACAGTCCAAGCATCAATGGAGAAATACTACACAAGTTCAAAACAATGGAAGTTCCCAAACCAGCAGCTTATAAAATACATCTTAGTACAGTTGGAGTCACCCAAGTGGTCTATAAATTAGAGTACAAACAAATATACGAAGTCGAGTAGCATTTTTCAGACAAGCGGACTCACTTGGCAAATCTACAATGGATGGAAACAGAGGAAGAAATGACCCAGGAGATATCAGTCCTGGAAATATCTTCAGGAAGGACTTCTCCGACCTGAAATAAGAAGCATGAAATTTTTTTTCCTCGAGGTGATTGATCAAATCACTTATGAATATTTTCAGCTTACTTCTCCCAATTCCAGGCAATGAGCTTAAGCAACAACGGGAAAAACTGCAGATACAATTTCTTGTATTAGATGAAAGCAAAAGGAACAGCTAGATCGCATAAAGCTATAGGGACAGCAAGATACAGTTCTGTTACATATGTTGCTGCACACAGTAATAACCAAAGAAACAGAGGTGTTTGCTAATTAAGAGAGTAATATTCTTGAGACTAAAAGCTAAAAGCAAGTTTTAGGATTTATATGGCTAGTTCATACCTGAGGGAGTAAGTTTGGGAAAGATGCTAAGAGCTTTCTCTGGTTCGCAACAAGGAATTCACAAGTTGCCTCTGCAACAGCAGTATCAGAGAACTCACTACAAATAAAAGGATGATAATATCAGCAAAATTTATCTACATAAACGCATAGTAGCACACATGTCAGAGCAGAGAGCCACAATAAGACCCAGTTAAAACATAAAACAACTCCATACCGGCTAAGACATGAGCGGAAGAATGTCCTCAAACTTGGGTCAGCATCGTGCAGAACCATATCCCCAAAATCAAGAAAAAACTGAAGAATAGCCTACAACACAAACACAAAATGCTTGAATGCACCATACACTAGAACCCAAAACCGTAAAAAAAAAAAACAAATTGGTTGAAAATTCTCAGGGAGAGTAACATACTAGCAAGAGAAGGCCTTTGGACGTCCCTGACTCGGACTGAGACAGTGAAGCAACAGAACGATGGAAGACCTTATTGATTTGTGGATAAATTCTAGCCACAAGATCATCTGATTTCTCCAATTTACAGAACCCATGTAGCTTCTTCACCTAATCCATAGACCATTCAAACAAAAGCCCAAGCAATGAATCTCTTGTTCATAAATACCATTCTCGAGCTAATTCTCTATATATGGATGAAGCAAGATGCGTACTGATTGTAATATAGATGGATCAGAAGCAGGATCCGTGGAATCCCGCGCGCTGTTGCTTAGGATTCTGAGGTAAAAATTCCAGTCTCCTTCTTGATCACTCATGTTCTCAAACAAAAAGAAGATCAGTAGAAAGTTCAATTGTTGGACGAAGACGTTTCGGCTTCGGCGACTCCGAGTCCCGGAGCAGGAGGATTGGAGCGAAGACGACCGCGTTTTCAAAGATCTCTATATCTTTAAACTGCATGCCATCTTTGGTCTTCTTCAGGTTGAATAGTTTTAACTACGTGTCGTTTATTGTAGCATAAGACGGCACATAGTCTATTAAGCAAACCCTAGACGGGCTATGTTGTGGAGTGGATTGGGCTGCGGCCTTTTATAGCGTTACACCGGTCACAACGAAAACGACACCATTCGCCGGGACGACTTGTTGTCTCCACGTTTTTTAGTAGGATTAATTAACTACGTGTCGGTTCTAGTAGTAGAAGACGGCACGCATTTTATTCAGCAAACATCCTTCGTAGTTCGTATATCTCAGGGCTCTCACTCTCTCCGTCTTCTAATTCTCCCTCCAAAACAAACCTCGGAAGGGAAAATTGGAGCGAAAGAACGATAAATATGGCGTCGGCGTCCTCGTCAGACGGAGTTGCCGGAAGGATTCAGAACGCTTCTTTGGTTCTTGTCTCCGATACCAATTCCACGCTTGCGGTGAGTATTTTCGTTCAATTCTGATAATTTCCTGAATTTTTCCTCCGAGATGTTGAGAGATAGGAGCTTTGGCTGATGATGAGTTTGAATAGTTTTGAAGTGAACAAGGGGATTTCTAATTTGGGCAAAATTTATTGCCTAGAATCTGGTTTATCTTTTGCTTTCGTCTGAATTGGCTTTGCCTCCTATCTATTTCATAGTAGCCTGGTTTTGTTTACTTTTCTTTGCAGGATATCCGCAAAGCTGTGGCAATGATGAAGAACATTGCTGTTCAATTGGAGAAAGAAAATCAAACTGATAAGGTTGGTTATCATTTTGGATTCAACTTTTTCGTTTGTTTTTGATATGAGAGGGAGTGTTTTCAGCGATAACGTAGTTGCAGCTGCTTAACTTCTTTGCTTCCATGGAGAGTAGTTTCATCTCCTTGAGTTTTTGTATTCGTTAATCATAAGTGATCCACTCTTTAACTTGTGGGAACTGTTTTGACTTTCTTCTAATGTGATTGATTTCTGGCTAATTGTATTGCTGTCCAACTTGTTATCACGTATCTCTTTCTTTCTGACATTGTTGTTTTCTGCTCCAGCCAAACTCTTTCCTTGATGTCTGTCTTTGATTTTCTTAAATGCTCTTTAAACATGCTGTTCATCTTGATATTTTGGGTTCCACAGGTTAAGGACCTTGAAAATTCTGTGGCTGAGCTATTGGATTTGTGTAGTGATTGTAATCACCGTTCGTCAGCAATTCAATCTGTTGCAAATAGGTACCAACCCGGGGAACAGGTACTCACATTAATCTTTCAAGTACTTATTCGGTTGCTTACTTTTAGGTGTTGCAGACTGATTTTAGTCTAATGACTGCAGTTAACGGACTTTCAGAAGTTGCTTGATGATGAATTCACAAAGCTCAAGGCTACACCTTCTTCTGTGCCACAAAATGATCATTTGATGCGCCAGTTCAGGGAAGCAGTTTGGGTATGCCATTTGGACGTTCTTCATCATAGACCTATTAGTTCCTCAATTTTCTCTCTTTTTGTCAGAATAGTATTGTTTTTTTACTTAAGTTCTTATCTTGAATCTATTAGGTCTATAAGTTCTTATCTGTGTTTTGCTGCAGAACGTTCATCATGCTGGTGAACCAATGCCTGGTGATGATGAAGAGGACATTGTCATGACCAGTACTCAGTGCCCTCTCCTAAACATGACATGTCCCTTAAGCGGGAAGCCTGTCACTGAACTAGCTGATCCAGTTCGCAGGTACAATGGATGTTTATTTTTATTTTTTGCCCTTAACTCGGATGTCTTGTTTTGTTCGGATGATTTGCTTGTCCTTTCCCGTGCTTAATGTCTATGTAGGATGATCCTTAAAGCCATATTTAGTTGATACTGAGTTCTGTACGTGATCATAAAGCGTGAAATAGTACTTCATCTTTCGTGTAGCGTAGAATTAATCACATTTTGTGTTGGACATGAATGATAGATGATTGTGCGGTGAACTGATACTGAATCTTTTTGATCTTTCTCTGGTTGCAGTATGGATTGCAGGCACGTCTATGAAAAAGCTGTAATCCTGCATTACATAGTCAACAATCCAAATGGGAATTGTCCTGTAGCAGGTATAATAGTTTTTGCTCAAAACGTCTTATAGACACCATTCTCTTGTTCCTTGATGCTGATTTGTCATTCCTATGACCACTTCAAATCCCCAGGATGCCGAGGTAAACTGCAGAACAGCAAAGTGATTTGTGATGCAATGTTGAAGTTTGAAATCGAGGAGATGCGCTCGTTGAACAAACAATCTAATAGGGCTGAAGTGATTGAAGACTTCACAGAAGATGTCGATGAAGATTAGAGATCAAACATATCTTAGACCGGGTTTTAGGCGCTGCAACGAAACAAGTTGAAGCCATATGTTACTTAACTTATGCTCTTCTTAGTCCATTCGGTATATTTATCAAACGTGAATTCTGTTACCAATTGTTTCCACTTTTGGATGTAAATCGCTTTGGATTCTAAATTGATGAATTCAACTGCTCGTTTTGGTCAAGTTTATTATGTTCATTTCCTTAGGCTAGTCAAAGGCATAAAGCCATTACGACCATTATTTGGTTTGCTACATTTTGGTTTTGGTTTTTAAAAGGTTTTCTTCAGAAAAATTATCGGTTTATTTACTTTTCATGGTTTTGGTTATAGTTTGTGTGGATATAAATCAGTTTGGTTTAAAATTCAATTTTGGTTCGATTTGGAGTGGTAACTTTTACTGCTAACAAACAAGGCTTTAGCTTCCCAGTCCCTCAGTTACTTGAAAGGAAGCATTTTCATCTTCAATCTTCATGCTTATTGACGAAAATGGCGTCCGCATTCTCTGCATTTAGGGTTTCGATGTCAAGAATTAGTCCTTTCCGTGATAGCCGGTTCTCTTATCCCGCCAAGTTCGCTTTAGCTCATACCAAACGAATCATGTGCAGCTCTCCACATTCTGTATCTTCATCTCCTTCTCCTTCTGACATTTCTTCTTCTTCTTCTTCTTCATCTTCTTCTCCTTCTACACTGTCGTTAATGGAAACAAGTGAAAATGCAAGGTGGAGACCCATGTGCTTGTATTTCACCCACGGAAAGTGCACAAAGGTAAACACTTCACGGCTCGTATTTTCTTATTTAAATTTTGCTTTAGCTAGAGCGGAATTGATATCCATTGCTTGCTTGGTTATTGATTGGTTCCTGCTCCGTGTGATTGTTCGAAAACAAGCGCTTTGACGCGAAATTTCTATCAACTATGCAATGTCTGCGACTTGTTCGATGGAATGTCTGAACGAGATTGAAACTTGTTTTCCTATCGAATAGTTTATCCTCGGTGTCTTGATCGTTATAGTTATTCTTTACCAAGATAATCGTGACTCGTGGGTAATATAGTTTACGTTGGTGTTATCAGATGGATGATCCTGCCCATTTGGAAATTTTCAACCATGATTGTTCCAAGGAACTTCCAGTGGCTGCTGCTGATCTTGAGAGAAAGAAGTCACAAGAATTCAACTTTTTCTTGGTTATTGACTTGGAAGGAAAAGTTGAGATTCTTGAGTTTCCTGTTTTGATCTTAGATGCCAAAACCATGGAAGTCGTAGACTTGTTCCACAGGTTATAACAGCTTCCTATCTTTAATGACACCACTTTTATTAAAATCAAAAGGGTCTTGGGGTGTTTGTCTGTTTGAATAGTTAAGTTTTTGTGTCATTGGAGTAGGAAACGTAAGTGCATAGTTAGACATAAGAACAGCTAATAAATTGATGTTCTTTAGGAATTTTATTGCTCATAGCTAAATTTCACAATTCGGTTTATTATATGTTCTTTACAGTTTTTATTGCTCAATTTGACAATGTGGTTGATTATTTGTTCTTTGTACTTCATAAGGTTTGTAAGACCCACCAAAATGAGCGAGCAAGCAATTAACAAATACATCGAAGGCAAGTATGGGGAAGTCGGTGTTGATCGGTATGCTACTTCTTTCTTACTTCCGGGTGTAGATATAGATATGGCAACAATGCTTGTTATGTTTCCTTTCTAGTTGCATTAACTTGATCCTTTAGGCTTATGTTAGCAAATGCTATAGTTGATTATATTTTGCTGCCATAAGTTATGATGATGCTAAGAATTGGTTTAGAGTCCACAAACTTCTCCGTACACCTCTTTTTGTTTTCTTTAGTTTCTGAGACCGTCTTCAAAATTCGAATTGCAGTGTATGGCATGATACAGCTATTCCATTTAAGCAAGTTGTTGAGGAATTTGAAGCTTGGTTAGCTGAACATGACTTGTGGACTAAAGATACAGATGGGGCTCTGAACGATGCAGCTTTTATAACCTGGTATGAATCAATGATATGTGCTTCACTGCTGCTTATGCACATACACAGTTTCCTTAAAGTTTCTTTAGAGCTCCTGCCATCTTTTGGATACTGATTAAGTTAATGTTATCAGTGGAAACTGGGATATAAAGACGAAGATTCCTGAGCAATGCATAGTTTCAAATATCAATCTTCCGCCATATTTTATGGAGTGGATCAATCTCAAAGACATTTACTTGAATTTCTATGGCCGTGAGGTAAATTGAAGATATCACTATGCATCATCATCCTATTGTTTGTTATTATAACCAATATTAGATGACATGACAGGCCAGAGGAATGGTGTCAATGATGAGGCAGTGTGGAATAAAACTCATGGGAAGTCACCATTTGGGTATTGATGACACAAAGAACATCACGAGGGTGGTGCAACGGATGCTCTCAGAAGGTGCAGTTCTCAAGATTACAGCTCGAAGGAGCAAATCCAATATGAGAACCGTCGAGTTTCTGTTCAAGAACAGGATCAAGTAAAGTTCTCAAGGAAAAATTGACAAACCCAACAAGCTCCATGATCCAAAAATAAATTAGTTACTTAGTCAAGTCTTTTGAGTATTAAGATGATAGCTCTAAGAAGACAATGTGTTTAGTCCTAAATGTGTGATATGGTTAGAAGGTTTTGTAGGATCAATGTTTCAGACTCAAGAGCTATGTTATGTAATAAATAGCTTTCCAAGACGACATTTTATCTCTGTAACAACTTTGGCCCAATATCGGCCCAATAAAGTTTTGTAGAATCTCTGATTAATAAGGTTTGTAAAATCTGAGAAACTCGAAAATAAATAAGAGGCCCATGAATTGGCCCAATCTCGGCTGTAATCGCCTGTGTGCTGGTTCATCGGAAAGTCAAACAGCAACTTTGTGTCTTTGTTCATTTTGTCAGCATCTTCTTCACTCGCTGACTGAGGAAGACTCTCATGTGCTCGAGTTTGTAATATTTACGAACTCGGATTCTTTCATCACAGAAATTGCTCATGTGCTTGAGTTTGTAATATTCACAAACTCGAATTTTAGATTCGTGTTTCATTTGCACCAAGATTACACCGATGATTACGAATCAGCGACAAAACCTTGTTAGTATCTTGCGAGTTTGCACAAGGAAGGGGCTTTCTGGTCAAGGAGGTCAAGTTCATTGTTTTCTTCTCAAGTCTGGATCAGGGTTGAATTTGATTACCAGCAACTATCTTATCGATATGTACTGTAAATGCAGAGAACCGTTGATAGCTTATAAGGTGTTCGACAATATGCCTGAGAGAAATGTTGTTTCATGGACGGCTCTAATGAGCGGTCATGTACTTAATGGTGACCTTAAGGGGTCCTTATCTCTTTTCACAGAAATGGGGCGTCAGGGTATATACCCAAACGAGTTCACTTTCTCGACGAATCTAAAAGCTTGTGGTTTGCTTAATGCGCTTGAGAAGGGGTTGCAGATTCATGGGTTTTGTTTGAAGATTGGTTTTGAAATGATGGTTGAGGTGGGTAATTCTTTGGTTGACATGTATTCAAAATGTGGAAGAGTCAATGAAGCTGAGAAAGTGTTTCGTTGGATGGTGGGTAGGAGTCTGATAAGCTGGAACGCGATGATAGCTGGATATGTACATGCGGGTTATGGTAGTAGAGCTTTGGCTACGTTTGGGATGATGCAAGAGGCAAAGATAAAGGAAAGGCCAGACGAGTTCACTTTGACTAGCTTGTTGAAGGCTTGCAGTAGCACTGGTATGATTTATGCAGGAAAACAGATTCATGGTTTTCTAGTTAGGAGTGGGTTCCATTGTCCAAGTTCCGCAACCATCACCGGTTCTCTTGTGGATTTGTATGTCAAGTGTGGAAATCTCTTTAGTGCTCGGAAAGCTTTTGATCAAATCAAGGAAAAGACAATGATCTCATGGAGTTCATTGATTCTTGGATATGCTCAAGAGGGTGACTTCGTGGAGGCGATGGGTTTGTTTAAGCGACTACAGGAGCTAAGCTCTCAGATTGACAGTTTTGTTCTTTCTAGCATCATTGGAGTCTTTGCTGATTTTGCCCTCTTGCAGCAAGGGAAGCAAATGCAAGCACTTGTTGTGAAACTTCCATCTGGGTTAGAAACATCTGTTTCGAATTCACTGGTGGACATGTATCTCAAGTGTGGATTAGTCGATGAGGCTGAGAAATGCTTCGCCGAAATGCAGTTGAAAGATGTGATCTCCTGGACTGTAATGATCACTGGCTACGGGAAGCACGGGCTTGGCAAAAAAGCTGTTAGTATTTTTAACAAAATGTTGAGACATAACATTGAGCCTGATGAGGTATGCTATTTAGCTGTACTTTCTGCTTGTAGCCATTCTGGTATGATCAAAGAAGGTGAAGAACTTTTTTCAAAGTTACTAGAGACACAGGGTATCAAACCTAGGGTCGAACACTATGCATGTGTAGTTGATCTACTAGGACGAGCTGGTCGTTTGAAGGAAGCTAAACATCTGATTGACACAATGCCGATTAAACCAAATGTCGGAATATGGCAAACACTTCTTAGCCTCTGTCGAGTACATGGGGACATCGAATTAGGGAAAGAAGTGGGTAAGATTCTTTTGAGGATAGATGGAAAGAATCCTGCAAATTACGTGATGATGTCCAACCTATATGGGCAAGCCGGTTATTGGAACGAACAAGGGAACGCACGAGAGCTTGGGAGTATAAAAGGGTTGCAGAAAGAAGCTGGTATGAGCTGGGTCGAGATTGAGAGAGAGGTACATTTCTTCCGTAGTGGAGAGGATTCACATCCTCTGACACTTGTGATCCAAGAAACTTTGAAAGAAGTTGAAAGAAGACTGAGAGAAGAATTGGGATATGTTTACGGGCTGAAACATGAGCTGCATGATATAGACGATGAGTCAAAGGAGGAGAACCTTAGAGCTCACAGCGAAAAGCTAGCAATTGGTCTGGCATTGGCAACAGGCGGCTTAAACCAGAAAGGAAAGACTATAAGAGTGTTCAAGAACTTGAGGGTATGCGTAGATTGTCATGAGTTCATCAAGGGGCTGTCTAAAATCACGAAGATAGCGTACGTTGTGAGAGATGCTGTTCGGTTTCACAGTTTTGAAGATGGTTGTTGTTCCTGTGGAGATTACTGGTGACCCTCAAGCTTGATTACTTCTGTTAAGCGTACGATTGGGTTTCATGGTAAAGCTGATACTCTTCGTCTACGTTGTTAATTTATTTTCTCCATTTATAGAAATATAATACAATTGTCTATAAATTTTCCAATATTTGGTTTCTGTTTATATATAGATATGTATTAGAGAGAAAGCCGTAGTTGTGACGTCTGTCTAAAGTTGGAAGAATGACTAAGAGGATATGCGATCTTCCACAGGAACTGGTAGGGGAGAAGATACTAGCCAAGGTTCCGATAACATCCTTGTCGGCAGTGCGATCCACTAGCAAATTATGGGACGCTTTATCTAAAGATTGGATTTTGGGTAAAGCAGCAGCAGCAAGGCAGCAGTTTTTGGGGTTCATGACGATGGATTCCAAGGTTTGTTCACTCAGATTCCATCTCCGCAAGGAAGAAGACTTGGTTGATCTATCTATAAAGCAGGTAGATTTACTTAATCAAGTGGATATATCAACTGTTTTTCACTGCGACGGCTTATTATTATGCGTCGTCAAGGACAACTCAAGGCTTGTGGTGTGGAACCCTTATTTGGGGCAAACAAGGTGGATCGGACCCAGAAAAAGTTTCCACCGATTAGATAAGTATGCTCTCGGATACGACATTAACCGTAACCACACAATCTTGAGGTTTGTGGATGATTGCATCCATTTAGAACACCTTTTCGGGTTCGAAATATATGACTTTAGTTCTAATTCATGGAGGGTTCTTGACGTCAGACCCGACTGGGAGGTAGAATTCTATCAACGTGGTGTGTCTTTGAAGGGAAATACTTATTTTTTGGCTCATGAGAAGTTAGGGGCTGACTTTTTTGCTCCAGTGGGAATCGGATCTGGTGGAGGGGAAGATGTTACGATAGACCTCCAACAGGTTAAAGACTTCTTACTCTGTTTTGATTTTACAACCGAGAAATTTGGACCCCGTCTGCCTCTTCCGTTTCACTCTATTATAGAAGATACTGTGACCCTCTCATGTGTTAGAGAAGAACAGCTCGCTGTGCTATATCAGCAGGGTGAGGATTAAATTGAACTATTGGAGATTTGGGTTACTACCAAGATTGAGCCCAATGCTGTGTCGTGGAGCAAGTTTTTGAAAGTGGATATGAGACCACTACTCACTGGTTTTGTTGCTGTTCGGTTTGACCATAACTCTGGGAGCTTCTTCATTGACGAGCAAGAGAAAGTTGCTGTGGTTTTCGATGTAGACGGGTATCGAGACACCGAGACCGCTCGGTACCACACAGCTTTTACCATTGGAGACGACGGCTACTTCAAATCCGTGAGTCTGGGAGAAGCTCCCAATGTCTATGACGGGAAACCTGGCCATTTGGGATATACTCCACAATTTTATTGTCCCCCACTTGTGTGCTCTTCTTCTTATCTCCCAAGTTTAGTGCAAATCAACCAACCACGCAAAAGGAAAGAAAGAGATGATTTCGGATTTGCTTCTTGCAAATCTAACTGTTAGTCACTCATGATCTTTGTTACGTTTCTTCTATTAGGAGCTAATAACTAAGGATGTCGTCTATTTCATGTTTCTTGTCACTTGTTCAATTTTGTTTCTTGCGTTGTCAACTGCCAGTCAATTGTCAAGCGATTGTTATAGTCACTTATTCACTTTGCTGTTGATTTCGGATTTTTTCATGTTTCTAAGCCCTTTCCTAAAAAATTTTGCTGTTGTTCTTTGTGGGGATCTAATAACTAAAACATGTATTGATTTGGAGTTTGTTCTTCCATCGTAATTTGTCTTAAGATTTCTCATGATGATGCAATTTATGATAATCACTTCTAGAAGGAGCAAAGTCCACTCTAAGAAACGTCGAGTTTCAGTTCAAGAACTGGATCAAGCCATGAATACTCAAGTCAAGTTTAAAATAGAACAGAAATTTTGAGTATTAGAAGATTAGTCTCTCTTTCTCTAAGACAAGCATAGGGAAGAAGACAATGTGATGATGTGATGAGAAGGTTTTGCAGATTTACAGCTCTGTCCATCTTCCGAGCAACAGCAACAAGTAAGAAGAATCAAATCGACAAATCGTTACTTTGAAAGAAAAAACAAAATCTTTAGAGCACTAGAAAGCTCTCTCTGAGTTTGTGATTTTTATAATCCAGAACAGGAACCTTCAATTATGACAACAAGTACAGAGGAGTTTCTTCTAGGTCTATAGCTAAAATTAAGGAAGATTCAGAGGTTGATAAAGATGGATTCTTGATCAATCATGCTCGTGTCTTAGTCGGTTCCGGTCGAGAGAGTTATGAGAAGGGCAAAAAAGCTCTACAAAATTGGAAGTATGTGTTGCTCTTTATTCATCTCAAGAACACCAATCGGTTCTGTTCTTATTGGTTTCTATCTGAAAAATTGCAGGCATTTTGGAATGGAATGGTGAGGTATGGTATGAGATAACGTCGTTCTCAAAGCCAGCTCATTTCTTGTCGTTCCTCGGATATCCTTATGTGAAGCTAAGGCAGAAGCACTTTGCTCGCCATTCTTCTAAAGCAGTGCTAAATATCTCAATGGTGTGTGATGGTACCGAAAATGAAGATATTTCGTTAAACAAGTTGCATCTTCTGTTCAATACACTTTGTCTATACCAAAAATGAAGATGAAAGGTAAAGTTTTTATTCAGATGATCGGTACTCTTAATACATAAAAATTTAGCTTTGATCTAAACAAGATTTAGAGAAAGCTAGGAACAAACATTTGGAAACAACTCTGCTCAGATTCCGACATTGTTGTGATACTACCATCATCTAGCTTGAACACCTTAATCTCGTTTTCCTTGTCGGTGAAGTAAATAGAATTTGGCAGGCATCCATAGAACTCACGAGCCAAAACCGAGAAACAAGTATCGGTAGCCATCAAAAACGCATTATCTCCCAAGGACTTGACTTCTACCCATTTCACCAATTCATCATCCATCTTGTAAACCTTGAAACCTATCGTTTTGGGACACTTACGTTCAAATAACTCACAGTTTACATTCCCAACATCGTCGTGTAGCACTCGGAAAAAGTAATGAGCATTGGGATCATCAGCCAAGGAATCAGCTTTTCTCTTTAGGAGATTCTCGTCAATGAGACGATCTACAATGTAAAGCACTCCACGACATCTTACAAACCTTTTTTCTCCGCAAGATCCGTTAGTGATGTTTCCATATAGTGAAGGTCCGAACCTGGAGATGTTGTAAGAGGAACTAATCCACCAAACAATCCCTTTTGTATCCAAGGCGTAAGTAAGACCTTTGTCAAGTACAATGTCAGAGAATTCAGCTACTTGTCCTTTGACTCTCATCCATCTTTCTTCTTTCCAGTACCTGATCATCCCGTCGATGCCGATCACTAGCACACGATGATCTCCTCCTGGGACTTTGACAAGAAACACTCTTTTGAATCCGCGAGCTGTTTTTCTCATGTAAACTCTTTTGAAGCTTATGGTCTCTAGAACCGCATAAGCTTCTTGAATCTCGGAGACTATGAATTCTGACAGATCAATGCGCTTGCACGAGTGTCGTAGTGCGACGCGCGAGAGAGAGTCGAGGAGATGGAATTTCCCGGAGTTGAGATCGGTGTCTGATTTGATCAACCACCCTTGGTCCGGAGAGGAGGAGAGAGTGACGCGAAAGAAGGCCGCTCGCGAGAGGAACGGGCCATAGCGGAGGCCCGGAATAATATTTCCTTGGGAGGTGACATGGACTTCGAGGGGCATGAAGTAGATGAGAGGGCAGCTTAAGAAAAGGTTCTTGTTGGCGCGGGAAGCAGAGGAGCGCCAGGATTTGCAGATGCTACGGAAACGGTTGAATTCGACAATGGAGAACAATCGAACAGCGATTAAGCCAAGGAGCTCCTTCGGTAAGTTAGACCAATCACCCATTTTGCTACTATGGTTGTTTTAACGCTCCAAATAGTTGTGCTTTGGCCCTTTAAAGAATTAAAATATGAATAGTGTGCATTTTAGTCTATAGGGAAACAAAATTCACTCATTTCCTTATAAAAAATGAAAACGAATAAATGGTCGGATCCTTTCGTCCCAAAAAAAAAAGAATAAATGGTCGGATCCATCCACACTAGCTCAAGTCAAGAAATTTACCTGTGCACGAGAAATCAACTTTACTTCCTTTCAAACCTTAAAGAGTAGAGGAAAAGCTCAATGATTTTGCTGACAAACAAAAAACACTGAAAATGAATAAATTGAAAGGTCATCAAGTTGAATAGCAATTGAAAACAAAAAATTTTTGGTGAAATGTCAGTAATGATTTATAAATTAATTAACTAACAAAGATAAATTTATTTTATGCAAATTTTACATTTATATTGGTAGATTTTGGTCGGAGGATATGTCGGCGCTGCAGTTTATGACGTTGAAAGAAAATAATTGGGGTTTGACAGTGTTTGGATAAACTATTTCAGATCGAGACAGTTTTACAGATTGATAAGAAAAAATATTTTGTGTTGTTTAGGTTCTACTGGTGTTTGGGTTGCCGAATCTTAGAGATCTCTTGAAATGTTGGAACTCTTCGAAGCGGCGTGAGTTTCTAGGGAATTTTTTTTTTTTTTGCTCTTTCTGCTTTAGACTTCCCTATTTATAGGTACACGTCAAACCCTACATATGTTTTTGCTAGGGCTGACGTGTATTGTGAAATCTTATCTTTTATCTTTATAACTGACGTGGCAATAACCAAATAATTCATCATATATCTTGAATGTTTTTGTTAGAGCTGACGTGTATTGTGAAATCTTATCTTTTATCTTTATAACTGACGTGGCAATAACCAAATAATTCATCATATATCTTGAATGTTTTTGTACGATGATTTTCATGTCGTTTTGCAAACAAATTTATTGAATCCTTAAAAGATGGGGTGTATTGGAGATTCCAAATTTTGGAAGACTTTCTAGATTTCGTATTTGGGGAGATTTGGAAGGATATTTGATGATTTTGATGGACCTACAAAACATTTCTTATGGTTTACCAATTTTTTTTTAAAAAAAAAATCCACAACTTTCAGATTTTTTTTTTAATTCTTGTAACTTTTGGTCTAAACCGAACTTTTGAATTGAACCAAACTTTGTAAATGTACTGAAATT